AAAGAGAGTTTGCCAACTATTGTCCCCAGTATTACCTCTATTATTAACGCTTCTCTCACAAGCCGAGTTTTCCCAACTTCTTGGATCCGGAAAATTGCTGAAGTCTGACCAATTCTTAAGCGGAACGGAGATCATGAAGAAGCCAATAAATACTGTATAGACCAATTTCGCTACTGCCAATACTTTCTAAGGTATGCGAAAGAGTAGTGCAGCTGACTCCGTATCTAACATCCAACCAAAGAATATCAGTCAAACAGAGCGGCAACAAAAGATGGCACTCTACCGAAACGTCGCTAATTTCTACCACTGATTTTATTCTCTACGCTATCGACCAGAAGAAAATTATTGCGGTCGTATATCTTGATATGAGCAAAGCTTTTGACACTATAGACCATTGAATTCTTTTAAAAAACCGGAGAACGATCGGTCTATCAGCCTCTGCACTCCAATGCCTTCGAAAGCTATCTTTCTCAGAGACTGACCAAGCAGTCCGTATAAACTCTGTTTTATCTGATAAATTACCAGTAGTCAGTGGAGTACCGCAGGGAAGCGTTCTTGGGGCATTACTATTTAGTATTTATATATGTAAAAGACCTACCAAATGTTTGTCAAAATTGTTTAACAGCGTGCTACGCGGATGACACCAAGCTTCTATAATCCTCATGCCGTGAACGACGACTGCTTGTGTTATAGAAAGTGTTAATTCCGATTTACAACGGATTCCCAACTAGTGTTTCGATAATTGCTGAATGCTTAATCCAGATAAGACGAAACTCATGGTTTTTAGCAGCCGAGGAATGTCTTCGAAATTACTTGGGCTTTAAATTATCTCTACTAGGAAAAGACATCAACCCGGCTCAATCAGTCAAAGACCTTGGAGTAATTTTTGATCCCACTGACGCTATCTTTTGATAATCATATTTCTACTACAGTGTCGTCTTGCATGTCGAAAGTACCTCAAATAAGCCGCATTAGATTCGCTTTTAATAAGCAGGTTGCTTGAAACCATAATAAAGGCGCTTGTTTTCAGTTGAACTCTATTACTGTTCGTCAGTATGGTCATCCACCTCAGCCTGTAATGGTCTTAAATTACTAACAATACGTTCAAAACTTTGCCGCATGAATTATTTGCAACGTAAAGAAGTATGACCATATCTCTCCTGTATTAAGAAATCTACGTTGGTTCCCTGTAAAAACACAATTGTATTGTCGAGATGCTACTGGCCTTAACATTTTAATGTATGTCGGGTCAAGCGCCTGAATACCTATACATCTATGTTTATTACAAGAGGCAGCGCATCTGGACGTATAACCAGCAATTCTAAACGGCTTAACATTCCTCTTTTTAAAACTGTAACAGGATAGAAAACGTTTTATTATATAAAAGTGTATTTATCTGGAACAAGCTAGATCCAAGCCTCAAATTATGCAAGAATCTGGCTTCCTTCAAAAGAGCTTTAAAAAAATCACCTCATTCTGAATGAATTTTTAAATTGATAATAATTTACTTTTAAAGATAAATAATTCGTATTGCATTATTTTAATTTTGTAATTCTCTTTGTTCACTAAAAGCCCCAGATGGGGATGTATTCAATAAATGTATGTATTGTATGTACTGAAGCTATAAAATGTCTGTAGACAAGTTCAAAAAAGCGCTGTGAACGATAACACGACAGTTGGCCTCGCCGCGTCAGATAAGGCGGATAAAAGATCTTACTTCCAAGACTTCGAAAGATTGCAGGTCTGAGGACAGTGAACTCGACATGGAGGTTAATGAATCCATCGGTTCAAGCCGGCGGAAAATTAAAAAAGAAAACAGCAGAAAGGGTCTTTCAAGGTTTGGGAACATTAAGGTCCCACTTCGTTGTGTTAAAAAAGTGATAATAGTAATTTAGAAGGCACCCGATGCAGGTAACTGATAATTTAAGACTGCTCCATAATTTTTTAAAGAAGAATCTTGTAGAAGCATTTACGAAAAGACATTTTTATTTCAACTTCATTTTCTTTTTGCTATTGTACTGAAATCAACGTACATTGCTCTAAAAAAGATGTACCCGTAAAACGTATATGAAGTCGATCAGGGGCTCGGGGAGTGGGGAATTGTCTCTTTCTTCGTGCTCGGGGGTGTGGAATAAACCACAAAGAAAGAAAAAAAAATGCAAATCCTCAGGGGTATGCCCAGGGCGCATGGTTACAGGTCAAATTGAAACCGGCATGCATAAAGAGCGTACCGTGCGTGCGAAAATCGAACGGAAGTATTCTTATTCAAGCGCTTGTTGGCCCAGATTCCTGAGAAGTATAATTTGTGGGCTGAGTTTGTTTACGAAGCGAGGGATTTCTTAATACTAAACACATTTTCTCGACTTTTATTTTCCGCTCAGAGGGGATGTGAGCTAAACTCCGAGGGAATTTGGTCGATTAACTTTGGGGGAACATAAAACCTGTTGGAGAATTTTTTGTTCCTTAAATATTATAACTTTTTTGTTGACAGGCATTTTTGTACGATTATCCTTCTTCCGTTCTAGCGTTATTTCCAATTTGTTATGTAACTTTTGATCGCAATCGAATACGGGGAAAACCCTGACCCGTATTTTAGGGCTTTGACCACCAAATAACTTGAACAAATCAAATTCTTTTTCGTGAAAAATAAACATTGCTTTGAGTGTTTAATTCGGACGTTTGCATTTAAAAATCCTAAAAAATTAACAGTGCAATTTTTCAAAAAAACCTGGTGATTTATTAAGAAAGCCAGTTTAATAAGCTTTAATTTGATATAGGGTTTTAGGTATTTTCAGTTTAACCGGAACGCGCTACATAACTTGCGCGTGAGAGAGCCTGAACGTATCCGCAAAAGGTGTTTCGATACATGCAGTTTTTGGGAGACCATACCGATGTTTTTTAATCACTTTAAAAGTGATTTTGTCCTTGCCTGATCGCTACAAACTTTTCACCAGTGATTGACTATGAATTGAAGTTTGTCAAAATGCAGTTTTTAGTAAAATAGATATCACTATGACCACAATGAACAAAAAACTTTGAAATCGATAAAATTCGAATTTTGCGCGATCTAGACCTGCTACGGAAAATCCGACACGAGGAACTTAAAATGTGGTGTTAAGCAAATAACCTCCGTGAGAAGTAAAAAATTCTGTATGTTTGAACTCAAATAAAACGCAAATTTTATATTTTATCGTAAAGTTCTGACCTATCACTATCCGAGAAGAAGCTCAACATTTCTCGACAAGAAATCGACCACAAGCCTGGATTTTCTAAGTATAATTTCAGTCAAGAGAGGATAAAGAGTTTATCCTCTCTTGTGTTAGTACTTTCCTTTCTTATATTATAAAAACCTTCGAGATGATTACTTTGTCAAAATGTTTGTGCTATCTAAGTTTTGACAAATAACCTGAAGTCATCTGGCCAAAATAAAACAAGGGCAAAAATATAAAAACTATAAGGTATCTACTCATGTGTACACAAACTTTTCATGTTATCAGAAGGGAAAGTACTAAACTTACAGTTTGAAAATCCTGGCTTGTAGATTTCGGAGAGGTGTGCGCTTCTTCTCGAAAAGTGATTGGTCGAAACTTTTGCATAAAATAACTACGGAAGTGTTCAAAAAACACAGAAGGCAAATTAAAAATGCTAAGCAGAATTTAGAACAATAGTTGTCTACCTACAAAAACACCTATAATCCAATTAAAGTTATACACTGCCACGAAATCGGTTAAAAAGTCAAGAAAACACACTGAAAAGGGTTGAAAATAAGTTCGGTAGTCATTTAATGGAAAATTTCATCGAAGGACCAATTGGAGGTCAAAAATGTCAGACTGCACATATTTCGCAACACAAACAAGGCTTTAATTTGTTATCTACTAAAAACTCAAATTAAACATACTTTTATGAAAAGAAGTGTTACCTCGGAGATGCACCAAAATAATTCATTGCCGGCGTAACGAAAATAAACTTGCCCTTCCCCTGCCCCCACCCCCCACCCCCTTCTCTAGAGAAGATATCTCTCGAAATGAATCAAACAATGAAACAAAGAACGTTACAGAAATAAAATCTTACGCAAATCATTCAATGAGTTACAAAAAAAGACAGGTTTGGGAAAGAAACAAATTCGTGCAAAGCTTGTACCATGCCACAGGAAAAAAAATCCTGCCGACATTGGGCTTGTAAAATAATCATTCACTGAAAACTTTTCACCCCACCCCCACGCACCCCCTTTCTGGTTATTTCCCTCAAGAGGTCACTCCTCTTAACTAATATGTTACGAACTTAAGGTTGGGACAAAAACTAAGACGCGAAAATAGAAGATATATATTCAAGACGAGTGCAAAATCGTAAATCCCGGTCGGAAAAATCTTATGGAGAAGTAAGTGTGTATCCCGTCAAGATGGTTGGTTAAGACTCTATATCTTAAGATAAGGTGGGTTAGTCTTAAAATAAGAAACTAACGATTTTAGGTAACATGCTGGGGGTCGTCGTTTATTAGTTATGTCTTCATGTTTAGTCTTTTTAGACTGAAACTAGGCAATCCGTTTTTTTTTTGTTGTTGTTGTTTTCACCACGACACTCTCAGAACTTTCGTTTAGCCGCGCTCAAGCGTATTGTCCTACGAAAAAATAAGCAAAGCTTTAGCCAATATACATATCTTTCAAGCTTTTAGAAGTATTCCAATCGTATCAATCCTACCCAAAAAGAAAAAAAATAACGATACCAATTTGTCAAGAATCCAAACTTCTGGTTTTATAAAGAAATACGAAATTGATTAAAATGTTTTGTCCTTTCTGAAACTTGGTATGAAAGACATAGGGAGCGACGCTATCAAATGTGTATTGCGGAGTGTCTTTATATGGCTGATTTGTCTGAAAATTTAGGCACTACTACTGCCCAAGAATGCAAACAAGGGACCATGCATTTCCGGTTGAACTAAAAAACGACTGTGGATCAGGCACAGTACCGATTAACCCCAACATATGAATCTTGCACCTTCTTCATTTCAGGTGCACTTCAACAAGTTTTCCAAATTCTTCTTTGGAAAGTTCTGCTTGTAATTCGTGTTTTAATAGTACGAGTTCAATAGCGCGAGCTTTTCTCTGTGAACACACGGACCATTTTATCACATTGTAGATTTCTGACAGCACGCTACGACCCATGAGGTACGCAGCGGCTTGGTAGGCAATGTAAGAACACTCCAAATGTACATGCAGTAAATAATCAGCTAGGACTCGAATCATCAGAAATCTCTGACCCTCAATCCCCCGCTTGACTAAAGATCCTGTCACAGCACTAGCCTGTTTGGTCGGTTTCCCCAAAATAATCATCAAAAGCTTCATGAATTTCTTTGCTTCCTCGTCATCAGTGTAGAACTGTGGTCCATTTTTCCATTTCTTTACCACGAAATCGTAAATTGCATCGCTGTAAGTCTCATGCAGTCGTCCAGCCCAGAACAGACACTCCTTGAAGCAAGGGTTGGTGAGGTAGTTCTGATTCTCTAAGGAATTCATTTCTACAGCATTGTCACCAATTGTGTTCCTGGGATGAAGAGTCAAAAATACATTGAACACTGCAAGAGCTACAGCACTACTCTCAGTAACTTTTAACTGATCTGCATATAAATACTCTTCTAGTAGTGAAAGAATTAAACTCGGTGTTGGACTTTCTTCCGTCTGTGGAATAACTGAAGCTTCAGCTAGAGGCAAATGCAACTTATCACGAGACTCTTTACTGATCGAAGCTTGATGTAGAAGCTGAGCCTTGTTAACAAGAGAATTAGCTTCTGGGCAGTTGTGGCTTACATCTAGCCTTCCTTCTTTCTTCAGAACATAAGCTAAAGCCATCACAAGGAAATTATATTTACTATTTTGAAGAATTTTTCCAAAATTATCCGTGACTCTTTGAGCGAGAACGGTAAGTTGGGTATCAAACAAAACGGCAAGCGATTGATTGGTTTCGATGTATCGGCAAAGGTATTGCGTTACATTGTCACGTATGTGTCTTAGAGCGTGACATGTAGCCATAATTTCTTTGGAAGATCGATGATCTATCATGTTATTCTTCGAGATAAAGTAATTTGGAAGACAATCTCTGGCATAGAATGCGATGATAAAGTCCAGGCCCCGGTTGTTCAAACGCTGGATAGCGCTATCCACCGGATAAAAGTCTATCCAGTGGATAGCGCAATTGGTTTCCCTAGTATTTATCCACTGGATAGTGATTTATCCAGTGGATAGGGCTATCCAACGTTTGAACAACCGGGGCCAGGAGATTGAAAATATTTTTGGCTAAGCTGTCCTTGCCCCAGGACTCAGTTCCTTTATCCTCGAGAAACCAAAATAAACTTGTTTTGAGATGGTACGAAGAGAACACGTCCAGCCCACGTAGCTTCATTTCATTCTTGATTAACGCCTTTAAAATTGAATAAGCCAGCTTTTGTTTCTCTGACAACGATCGGGCAAGCATTAACTCAGCTATAGAAAACGAAAATCTCCACTCAAAATCTGTCAAAACGCTCCTGTGTGACCCAACGGGTACGATGTGACAACCTTGGGCTAATATTGTAGAAACCATTGCGGTGCTGGGCCAGAAATGTTCTCGTTTACGATGTACCCATTCTTCTCCTTGTCAAGGCCAAAATGAACATTTTAGGCCATAAACGAAATCACAATTAACCGTGAATGTTCCCATCGTGTAAGGAAGAGAGAACGAAGGACCCGTAATTGAACCTTCACCGGCGGTCATAAAAGCACCTCGGTTGAGTGGAATTAAATCCTTACTATCTTCGACGAATTTTAAGTTCTGGAGGCGGTGATCTGGAACCAAATCTACGTCTGTTGGCTGGGAGAATTGTTTCTTCGTCAAGTGTGCATAGCCAGCGTGTGAAGCATTGAAGATGTAAACCGTATTTTTGGCTTCCTCCTCATTCGTCGAACTAATCGCACGTTCCTCACTTCCGGGCTCGCTTCCAGGAAAGTCTTGCAGTTCTTCATCACTTTTCTGGGTGGTTCTCTCTTGTAATTTCACTCCTTCCAGTAGTTTTAAATCAGTTCTGATAATCATATGGTCTGCATCAGTATTCCATGCGGTTAGTCTCTCAAGATGGGGAAGAGAAAGACCTTCAAAACCGCTTCCGGTGTGAATGACTTCAACATCGGGATTCCCAACGCAACATTGTTCCAAATCTTTTGCTAGACTGTTGATGTTTTCTTCCATATCTTCTCTAAAAATCTTGAAAAATGGCACTAAATCCAACGTTAAGGTCAAACACAACTCCTCTGGATCACCCATATTGTAGTTTGTGAGATTGAAGATGGCCGGTTTTCGTACTTCGGTAGAATACTGGGAGATTGCACTGCATTATGGGTGATGGGAGTACATTTTCATGGGAAAACCGGAAATTCCGGTTGGAAAAACAAATGGTTTCCGTTTGGGAACCCTCAGAAAATATAGGCTGTGATTTGAGGCGATGTAATTTTTCTTATACTTGATTTAGTCTGTTCAGCTGATTTGGCTTTACTTTGTAGCGGATCGTTCTCCCAAAAAGTCAAATTTCATGGTTTCGTGTTTATGCACAAGATTTTCACCGGGGTGGTTTGTGTTAAATGGTAAGCACCTGCCGAGGGCCTTTTGAACGTGCGGCGTGGCTACCAAGTCAACAGCAACAACCATCGGTGGTTCATTTCGAAGAACACAGGCGGCCCAAGCTCAATTGAGTATACAATAGTAATAAATTCCCACTGGGAGCCCTCACTCCCAAACGTCCCAGGCAAGGATAAGATATGGGAAGAAGCGAGCCCGGAGGCGAAAAGGAGCGGGAGCTACAATCCCGGACAAAACTACTTGAGAAAGTTTTCCCCATCATGTCCACTTTGCTACGCAACAAAACTATTTCCAAAACGCTAGGGATTTGGGAATGGGGATGCCCAAAACGCGGGGATGCCCAAAACGCTGTGACACCGGGTTAAGATAACCCAGGGTTAGTGCGAGATTTGAATTCAGATTTGAAAGGTTAAAAAGCATTTCAGTTTTAACTCTTTTTGTCTACAAGTTGATGATTGAAAGCTCTAAATATAACGGAGAAAATTATCCGAGAAAGTGCTCTAGAACACA